AGAGGGAGAGAGAGAGGGAGAGAGAGAGAGAGGGGGGGGGGGACAGCCCCTCCGTAGACCACAATAAGGTAATAAAATGGGAGAGTTTATTCCTTCTGCTAAAATGCTTCTTTTTTTAAAAGAAAAAAAAGCTACTTCATAAATACTTAATTCGATTCCACCTTGGAAAAAAGGAACTTGGAAGAATAAATCGAGAGATTGCCAGCTCCTCCTCTGCCCTGTATTTCACAAGAAGCCCTCCCTAAACTCTACGGCTCAGGCTCCAGGGTCAGAGCCGACCCAGGGAGGAAGCTGGGCACCGGCACCTGACTGGCGGTTGCAAACTGTTTGGTAAAAAGCCAGGGTGTCACGTTACAGCATCAAGTGTCTGGAACCAGTTGAGTTAGATTCTTTGGTGCAGCTCCCGGGCTGAATAGTCAGCTCTGGAGAATCTTCTTGAGGCAGCAGGATTTTATCAGGTGTGTAGTCGTTTCTTTTCAAATCTGCAAAAGAAGGTCAATTTAAAAAAAAAAAAAAAAAGGAGTCCCAAAGGTGCTTTTTTCCCCCCAAGAGGCAACTGGACTTTCCGGTTTTTCTTTGAAGGCATTTCGCTTCTCATCCAGGAAGCTTCTTCAACTCTGACTGGATAGTGGGGGAATGGAAGGATTTATACTTCCTTGCAGAGAGCTGGTCATTTGCATCCTTTGGGACAACCATGCTCTGGATGACTGAGAAGCTCCATAGACTTTTAGCCATGCACTTTGGGATGAATCCCCTTCGAAGGGTGTGGGAGTATGAATGGATTTCCCCAAAAAGTGCCAAACTACGGGAATCATTTACACTACTCAGGTGACCCTGAGGATGCAGAGAAACCTCCAAGTGGCCTCAACGACTCTCTAAAAAGGATGCAAATGACCAGCTGTCTGCAAGGAGGATAAATCCTTCCATTTCCCCACCATCCAGTCAGAGGTGAAGAAGCTTCTTGAATGAGAAGCAAAACTTCTTCAAAAGAAAAACAAGAAAGTCCAGCTGCCTCTTGAAAAAAAGCACCTTTGGGACAACCATGTCCTGGATGACGGAGAATCTCCGTAGATAAAAACAGAGAGCCAAGTCCAGGAGGGGGGAAAAGAAAGGAAGAAGCCTAAACTACGAAAATTAAAAAGAAATCTGTAGGCCACTAGCAACACACTCTGGACATTTAATTCCAGAACAGCAATGCTACACTTGAACTGATTCTCCATGCCAGATTGCCTATCAAGCACTTAATCTTATAAGAGAGGCAAGACATCAAAAACAAACAAAACTACAGGCATGGCTGCTAGCTTTGGTTTGGAGCCGTGGTGGCTCAGTGATGAGGATACAGTATTGAAGCCTAATTCTGCCGACTGCCCACAGTTCGATTCTCATCAGGCTCAAGGTTCACTCAGCCTTCCATCCTTCCAAACTCGGTCAAATGAGGACCCAAATTGTTGGGGGCAATAGGCTGATTCTGTAAACCGCTTAGAGAGGGCTATAAACCAGTATGAAGTAGTATATAAGCCTAAATGCTATTGCTATTTTGGGCCTGTTGTGAGATGGGCCAAATTTGTCAGCAAGAATTCAGCTTTGGTATGAAAGCAGGAGAGATCAACTTATCTGTAGCCAGGAGCCACACCGAAAACATGATACTTTGAGGGTCACAGTGGAGAAGACAGTGATGCCAAGGCAAGAGGTATCCTTGAGATTTTGGATGGGGTTTTTGGGAGCTCCCTTTTTTAATCTCATTGTTATGGATTATGCTACAGGAAACCATGACATAGCAATAGCACTTAGACTTATATACCGCTTCACAGTGCTTTTACACAGTGCTCTAAGCGGTTTACAGAGTCAGCATTTCCCTCAACAATCTGGATCTTCATTTTACCCACCTTGGAAGGAAGGAAGGCTGAGTCTATCTTGAGCCTGGTGAGATTTGAACTGACAATGCAGGCAGCCAGCAGAAGTAGCCTGCAGTACTGCATTCTAACCACTGCGCCACCGCGGCTCATAATGATGAAAATGAGCTCCGTTCTACCCTACCCTCACTCAGAGACTAACAGTAACCCTGGAGGACTTACGTTTCTTTTCTATATGAAAAAAGAAGCAATGAGGGAGACGTTCCTGTCCTTAAACAAGAGTGTCTGGTTTACCTGGAAGCTTAAGTTTCCTACAGCAGGAGTTGCAGTGATGCTTAGCTCTGAAATTCTTAATGGCGTCTTCTCCCAAGTTGGCAGGACCAAATACCATATCGCTTGACCTTAGAAACAAAACAGGTTTTCTTTCAAAATTCTTTACATGCACCCGAGGACTTCTGCCTCCTAGGAAAAACAATAGTTACCTTTTTTCTTCAGCTTTTATTACAGAAGGGTCGGTCAGGTTTTCTCCAACACCTTCACAAGAGAGAGCAAAAGTGTCAGAATATTCATGAACTGGCAGAGACATGGTAACAAAGTCAGCCAATGAGGCTTACCTGTATTTTTCGGACTATAAGACGCACCGGGGCATAAGACACACCAAGATTTCGAAGAGGTAAGTAAGAAAAAAAAGTTTTTGTCCTCCCAGGCGCCAAGGAGCATTCTGCAGGCTTCAGCAGGGCTGGGGGAAGGCAAAAACGCCCCCATTTCTGCGAAAAATGGGTGGAAAAGAGGCCGTTTTTCGCAAAAATGGAGGCGAGGAGCAACGGCAGTCAAAATGGCTGCCACGAAGCAGGAACCAGCCAGAATACCCAAGATGTTTATGATGGTTTAAAAGATTTGAAGATATATATTTTTAAAAAATAACAATAAAGAGGAAGAAATGAAGGAGAAAAGTTCTATTTAATGAAATGATAAGGAACTAAACTGAGCTGGTGGCTTTCTGTATACCAAGCTACAGGGAACAAATCTCCACTTACCTTGCAGATCAAGCACCAACAGCTCTCCTCGTGTGTATTCGTACGTCCAATGGCTGAAAGCCAGCATGACCTCCTCTAGCATGTTGGTGGGAATGATTTCGTCTCCGTTGTTGTTGTTGTACTTCCTGAATTCGCCAGTCATGCATTCTTCAACCGCAAACCACTGCCCGGCTGAGTGGCAATACAAGAGGAACACTTCCAAGAACCTTGGGGCGAAACATTGTAAGCAGTTGAGAGAGAAGCTCATTTCCCACTCATAAAGGTAAAGGTGAACGTTCCCCTCGTACATATGTGCTAGTCATTCCCAACTCTAGGGCGGGGGTTCTCATCTCCGTTTCAAAGCCGAAGAAGAGCACTGTCCGAAGACGTCTCCGTGGTCATGTGGCCATCATGACTCAATGCCGAAGGTGCACGGAGCGCTGTTACCTTCCCACCAAAGGTGGTCCCTATTTTTTCTACTTGCATTTTTTACCTGCTTTTGAACTGCTAGGTTTGCAGAAGCTGGGACAAGTAACGGGAGCTCACTCTGTTACATAGTGCTAGGGATTCGAACTGCTGACCTTTTTGATCAACAAGCTCAGTGTCTTAGCCATGTCCCTGCCCCCCCCCTCCATACACACACTAAAAAGAAGGGGGTCCACATCCAAATCCTCCTTAATACATTATTTGTTTAAGATCCAGGAATATTAAAATAGTTGTTTGGGTATATTTTTTATAGAAATCTGTTCTTCTGTTTGTGCACACACACACAACAGCTGGCAGCAGCCATTATTGTAGATCAGTGTGGTGTACTGTTTTCTGCACCCAAGTAATCAATTTTCTACATCTAGAAAGGAAGCATTAAATCCACAGCCTCTGTCACACAGATAAAGGAAACCCACATACCACGTGGGTAATTTGGTCCAGAAATGAAAACAGGAGAGCTTTTAACATTGAGAAGGCATCGTAAGGTTTACCTCGGAGAGTATGGAATTGATTTGGGCTTCATCTGATTGAAGGCGAAAGTCAGCTTCTGTGCAGCCCGCTGCTGCTGAATTTCCTAGGCGCAATAAGAAATACATTTTTGTAAAAACTCCCAACTATATTTAAACCTTTAACAAGGACTTTCTGTGCCACGTATTCGTGTAATGTGTATATAATATGCACATCGGTGTGTGATGGCACCGCTAAGCTACGCTTGTCATTGTAGCCTTGAAAGCAACTACAATTTGGGAAAAAAAATAATTCTAGAAACATCCTGTAAGATAGGCAGTCCTCGACTTACAACCATCTGTTTAGGGACCGTTCAAAGTTACAACGGCATTGAAAACAGTGACTGGACACCTGGTCAATATTTGGACGGTTGGTAACTGGCATGTACTTGTATCAGGGATATAGGCTGACTCCACTGAAGCGTATGCAATGTTTAGCAGAGGAGAATTGGGCACCTTTGGCAGGAAGGAGGAGAAGGAAGCAACAAAAAAGAAAATTTTGTATTGTATTTTTCGGAGTATAAGATGCACCTTTTTCCCTCAAAAGAGAGATTGAAAATCTGGGTGCGTCTTATACACTGAATACAGCATTTTTTGCCTCCCGAAACCTCGCCCCCTTCACCAAAATGGCCGTGCAGAGCCTGTAAGAGGCTCTCAGAGTGTTCCTGGGGGGGTGGGGAGGGCAGAAATGAGCAAAAAGGGGCAGGAGCACTCTATAAGCCTCCTAAAGGCTATGCATGCCCTTTTTTTTGACAAAAAATGAGCCTGTTTTTGCAAGAAATGGGCCGTTTTTGGGAGGTCTGCAGAGTGCAAAACCTTTTTTCTAAAATTTGCCTCTTCAAAACCTTGGTGCGTCTTATACTCCGAAAAATACGGTAAGTATTTGCTTTTGCTTCCGTGGTACGGTAAGAATCTGCCCCTTCTGAGCAAAAGTACAACTTACTCTCAAGCAAAGGTGTAACACTGTGTCTTCTTTGTAAATGCTTGACCAGGTATTGACAACTTCGGGGAGAAATGATTTGATGATGTAAAGGTGCCCTGATTTCAGAATATCGTACTCGGACCAAGTGCAGGCCACCTTCAGGGCTCGTCGCAAACCTCCTCCCATCTCTTCCTTGCTTAAGAATTCGATTTTGGCACAGAGGCCCAGCTGAGACCAGGAAGACATGCTGTTGTTCAAAATGTTGGGAGAGCTTTCCTCCAGACGATACACAGTGACTGGCTCTCCTATGATGTCACCAGAACAAAGTTAAAAAAAGACAGGTGAGGATTAGCGAATAGCACTAGAAATAGCACTTAGGACTTATATACCGCTTTAGAGTTGTTTTACAGCCCTCTCTAAGCAATTTACAAAGTCAGTATATCATCCCCAACAATCTGAGTCCTCATTTTACTGAACTCGGAAGGATGGAAGGCTGAGTCAACCTTGAACCTGGTGAGATTCGAACTGCTAAATTGCAGGCAGCCGGCAGGCAGCAGAAGGAGCCTGCAGTACTGCATCCTAACCACTGTGGCTCAGAATATTAATGTAATGTAATGACACTTTATATCAGTGACTAACCTATCCAAGATGAATCTTGCTTGAGAAAAACCAACATCTGATTCATCTTGACCGGATGAGTAACTACCAAATATAAATTAATGAACTCAACCTTATATTATAACATTTGCTTTGAGATCTTCCATCTCCTATCGCTCAAAACTCTAGTTAAGAATCAGTGAGTGCAAAAAGGGAGGAAGGAAAGGAAGAAGATACGGTGTTCATCTATCTTGTTCAAATTTCATAGTAAAATGCAATAAACAAAGTGTTCTTTTTATCAGAAATTGATTATATAAAAGAGATAAAAATTCTGGTTTTTAGAACAATTCTAATCACTGTTAGAATCTTTTTGGTACCCAGTGAAGACAAATTTTACTTACTCAAGCACTTTGAACATTTTAGTTTGCTTAATCCTTTAATCTGCTGATATTCTATTTGCTCTTTTATATCAGGGGTGCCTGATTTTTAGGGTCTTATTTGTTTTCTTGCGTGTTAAGTGGTATATTATATAAAATTATTGTATGCCTACCAGGTCTGTTTTGACACAATGAAAGGTCATCTAGAAAAACTTGAAATACATAAATAAAAATTCGTACCTCTTGGAGGCACCGGGGTGAATGGGATGCTTTGTGATAACCTCATCAAATTATTTCTCTCCACAGCTGTAGAGAAAGGCAAGGCAATCTGTTGTAGATTAAGGATTATAGTGCTTTAAAAAAAATTTATTTCATTTTTAGGAGGTTAGAGACTGACCTGAATAGTAGTAGGTGGTATCCATAATGGGCTTGAAAGGGGAAGCTATACCTAAAATAAAGAAAGAAATAAGTAAATAACGTCCTACCCTGTTTCCCTGAAAATATCTTGCCGGATAATAAGCCCAATTGGACTTTTGAGTGCATGCACTAAAATAAGCCCTCACATTTACAGCAATGCAAAAAAAATGAAGCTTTTCAAGTGAAGTTTCATCAAACTCTAACAAGTTATAAACATAACATCAAATTTATTGCATAAAAAAACCTGTGATGTTCAAAACACTGAGGATAATTAAAACCTCAACATAAACAGGACAACCTCATCTTGGCTTATCCTGGATGAGAACAAAAAGAAAATTTCTTTTTGAAGAGCTAAGGTACTAAAATATCCACCGACATTTCTACTGAGACACTTTTGTCTGCAGTTAAAGCTGAACGATGTATTGAATTCAAGAAAAGTTACTACCAACGGTACTCTGTAAGCAATAACTTACCATTCAGTGCATCTTCCTCAGAAGACCTACAAGTAACAGAGACACCATTAAAACTTTAGAGATATTTACATTTCTTGGATTTTAGTGCTCTCATTGTAAAGGAACAGAAAAATTCCTCAGGAAGAGTATCCTAGAACAGGGGTCGGCAAACTTACACTCAAAGAGCCATTTGGATCCGTTTCCCACAGAAAAGAAAACACCGGGAGCCACAAAGGCCCTAACCGGAAGCCCCCTGTTCAATTCTGGAGCTGACCGGAAATTCAGTTCCCTCACCATAGAGTCTCCTCCTAGCGTGACATACTTTTTCCTCTACTTGTCATAACCGAAAGCCCTATCAAT